TACCAAGATTCCTTTTGCTCTTCTTTCTTTTTAAATAGTGGTCTGCTTAATTTTATTTATTATTATTATTTAATTTGACCAGAGAGCAACAGAGAGAGAGAAAGGAAAAGCGAGAAAGCAAGCCACCAGGTCCAGTACTCAAACCACAATTGACCATGTGGGAGTCCAGCACCTCAACCACCACATCACCTGCTGACCCCCTTTATCCACTTTTTCTTTCAAAGAATTATTTATTTAATTTAATTTATTCATTCAGTCATTTTCATTTGACGAGAGAAAGACAGGCACATAGAAGGAAAGTGAAAAAGCAAGCCACCAGGTCCAAGACTCAAACCATGGTCAGCCATGTGGGAATATCCAGCGCCTTAACCACCACGCCACCTGATGACTCCCTTTTTGCACTTTTTTAAAGTTCTATTTTATGTATTTCCTGAGAGAGAGGAGCACCATGACAGGGTCTCACCACACTGAAATCCTTCTCCTAGCCTCCCAGCCAGCTAGGACCCCTGGATCACCAGGGATACTCGGGGTGCTCAGGTCAACCCAGATCCAAACTCAGGCCTTCCCTATGGAGCCAGCATCACACAGCAATGCCATACCTCCTGCACCACCGTGGCTGGACCCTTTTACATTGTAATTAGAACAGATTTTTTCACAGTGGTCATTTTGTTCAGGTTTAATTTACTTACAGTAAAATGTACAAATCGTGTGTAGCTTCATGAATTTTTATATATAACCAGCTATACTAGTATAACCACTGTCCAAACCTGATTCTGGAACAAAATACAGAAATTACATACTGGAAAGTGTACAGAGTATAAGAGGCAGCTGAAGGGTAGGTAGTGTGTGGGGATACTTGGTCCAGACGGAGAGGTCCATGAACAGAAAAAGCTGCAGAATCACTGACATGGAGACCTCTGCTTAGTGGCTCCAGTTCTCTGCATCCTTTTATAGAAAAACTTCAAAAAAATTGTCTCCCCCAGCGCTGTCCGTTAGAAATACAGTGCAACCCACACAGGTGATTTAACAGTTTCTAGTAACTGCAAGAAAAAAATAAAAAATAAACAGGTGAGAGACCAGCAGTTGGCGTAATGGCTATGTTGCTGGATATGTAGTTGATCGCAGTTCGAGTCCCAAACCCAGTGGCTTAAACACATGCTGGGCGCATGTGCGTGCCCAAGATCCCGAGAGGAGAATGGAGGAGAAGGGATTGCGGTGTGGCCATCCTCCCTGGGGAGTGACTTCTCGCTTTCTGTCTCTCTGTCTCTCTCTGTCCTTCTGGCAAGCACACACGCCCTATAGCAAAAACCTCTCCAAAATAAATAAATAACAAATAAACAGGTGAAATTAATTTTAATATATGTTGTATAATCCAGTTCCTTAGGCCAAAAAATGTGGAGTCTTTTTTTTTTTTGGAGAGGTTTTCACTGTAGGGCGCATGTGCTCGCCAAGCAGACAAAGAGAGACATAGAGACATAAAGCGAGAAATCACCCCCCAGGGGGGATGGTCACGCCGCAATCCCTTCTCCTCCATTCTCCTCTCGGGATGTTGGGCATGCACGCACACGTGCCTGGCATGAGTTTTAAGCCACTGAGTCTGGGACGCGAGCCGCGGTCGACTACG